ACATTTTTTCTCTCTCTAATTTTTTATTGGTTTAAGCATTAACCGAGCCTAACCCCCGTCGAACTCCTCACTACATCCAAAATTTTCTTGCAATTAAAAGTGCAAATGAACCACCCTCGTCTGCACCCTTCAAAATCTCACTCTGTCTCGACTCAAACCAGCCATGGCAGCCAACCAGCTTCTACTCAATGCATGCTATGGCTCCTTTGATTTCTTCTTTAATCCAACCACCACAGCCCTAAACCCGCGCCCATGGAGTGCTCATGTATGGGTTTTTGAAATTTTAGAGTTTGAAGCAAAATTTCTTAAGGCCTCAGTTCTTCTTAAGTCCTATACAACACAAATTTGTAGAAACTTAAACAAAGAAAAAGGTAATTTTAAGTTTTTTGCTTTTACTTGCTTTCAATAATTTCTTCTTGATCTCTGATTGAGGTTGATTTTTTACTGAATTGTTGTAAACCTAGGCTTTGTTTTCTGTTTTTTGGGGCTTTATTTTGCTAATTTTAAGTGAAATTTTAATGTTTGTGGATTAAAAAACAAATTTCTTTTCATCAAGTCTAGGAAAAAAAATGTAAATAGCCCCAATTGCAGATGAAAATGAGTAATTATCAATAAACTTATAGAACAGGAATAGGAGGAACGGTAGATCATAACAGTAGCTAGTTGTGTTTCTGATGCTATTGATGAATAAACGTTGGAAGTCGAATGAAAATACTATTCAATTCTTTTTTTCTTATTTTACTCTAGCATAATGTTGCGGTTTCTTTTATAGGGGGTTCTCACTTGGGTTTTGCTGCTATGCTTTTTTTATGTTCTAAGCTCTTTGATTGTCTTGATTTTGTTGGGACATTGCATTATCTTTTGGATTGGTTTCTTGGCTCTATACTTAGTAAGTTATTAGCATCTTAGGTTTGTATTAAGACTTCCCACTTGGTAGAACTTGCCTTAATTGTATTAATAACATATTTATTATTGCCTTTAGAAACTTTTGAGTCAAATTCCTTTTAGTATATCCTATATTATTCCACATTAAATATCACAAGAAGAAAAAAGTTATAATGACTAAGGATAAAGATGTAATTTTATTGAAACCAACAAACTTTTCTTACACCTTCAAGAGGAAAAAGTTTTAAGACTGTTAAATCTTAAGTTCATGTCTCATCGTATGTAAGTTTCATTAAAATTTGTATTGGTTTATTAATTTATGTTGTTTGTTTCTTAATTTTTAAAATGTATTAGGTTGATCATATATGTTGAATAATTTAACACTTATCTTTTAAAATTTGTAGGCATGAGTCACAATTTATTCAAGATATTGTTAAGCAGATTCAAAATAAGCTCTATCACACCGCTTTATACGTCCCTTCTTATTTAGTTGGAATAGATTCTCTTGTGACACGCATTAATCGGTGGATAGAAGAAGATGGATCACATAACACAGGCATTGCAACAATTTGTGGAATTGGAGGGATTGGGAAGACAACCATTGCCAAAGTTGTTTTCAATCAAAACATCCAAAGATTTGAAGGTTATAGTTTCCTTTCTGATGTTAGAGAAACGACTCAAGAGCGCAATGGCTTGGTTCGTTTGCAAAGACAACTTATTTCAGATATCCTTAAGGGAAAAGCAAACAAAATCCACAGTGCAGATGATGGAATTCTTAAGATCAACGAAGCTGTATGTTGTAGAAGAGTTCTTATTGTTCTTGATGATGTCGATGATTTGGAAAACATAACTAAAATAATTGGAATGCGAATATCCTTTTTTCCAGGAAGTAAAATCATCCTAACTAGTAGGCGTCGACATCTGCTAAGTGGTCCTTTTATTACCCAGATGTTTGATTTGAAAGAATCATCCAGTTATGGAGACTTAAGCAAAGTGTTTGAAGTAAAAGAATTAGCTTTCAATGAATCACTTCAACTTTTTAACTGGTATGCCTTCGGCCACAACTCTATAACTGAGAGTTTTATGGAGTATGCAAGCAATATAGTCAACTACTGCGCTGGGCTTCCATTAGCTCTTCAAGTTTTGGGTTCTTCTCTCTCTGGCAAAAGTATGAGTGTATGGAAAAGTGCATTGGAGAAATTGGAAGCAATCCCTGATAGCAAAATTCAAAAGATTCTACGAGTAAGCTATGATTCCCTTCAAGATGATCATGATAAAAATTTATTCCTTGACATAGCTTGCTTATTCATTGGGAAGGATAGAGATTATACAGCTACAATTTTGGATGGTTGTGATTTCTATACAACAGTTGGAATTGAAAATCTCATAGGCAGGTCTCTCTTAATTATTAATGAAAAAAACAAGCTAATGATGCATCAAATGGTTAGAGATATGGGAAAGGAAATTATTCGCCAAGAATCTCCTGATCCTGGAAAACGCAGTAGGTTGTGGGATAAGGACGCATTCGATGTAATAAGAGAAAAAATTGTAAGAGACTTTATTTTAATCTACTTGTTTCTTGCATGTATCTTTTTAACTTTTATCATACAACTGTTTTTTTTCAATTTTTTTTAAGATACACTTTCTGATCCAGGGTTCAAAAACAATTAAGTCTCTCACTGTCGACTTACAAGGATTGCTAGAAAACAAGTCTAAACGGACAACTCCAGGTCTACATTTTGCAAAGCATTCAAAAAATCTATTTGTCATGTCAAATGAGGTTGATATAGAAACTGAAGCATTTGCAAAGATGCAGAGACTTAAACTACTTCAGTTGGATTATGTAAAACTTAAAGGAGACTTCAAAGACTTCCCCAAAGGTTTAATATGGTTGCGCTGGCATGGATTTCCTCTACAATCTCTTCCAACAGATTTTGATATTAAGAGGCTAGTTGTTCTTGACATGCGCAACAGTAACCTTAAACATTTTTGGAAGGATACCGAGGTATGATAAGTGATAACCACTAATTTCTCTTTCCTTTTTTTTTTTTTTGAAGCAATAACACATTTCTAAAAAGAGTTTTTTTTTTTCTTTTTTACAGTGTCTTCCAAATCTAAAGATCCTTAATCTAAATCATTCACATGGCCTTCTCAAAACCCCAAACTTTTTAGGACTTCCAAGTCTTGAGAAGTTGATGCTCAAAGATTGCATAAAGTTGACTGAGGTTGATGAATCCATTGGTGAGCTAAAGGTACTTACTTTTTTAAGCCTTAAAGGTTGCAAAAACCTTATGAAACTTCCAAGAACAATTGGTTTGCTATTGTCTCTTGAAGTGCTTAGTTTATCTGGTTGCTCAAGACTTGATGATATTCCTAGAGAGTTGCAAAATATGAAATCATTAAGGGTGCTTAATTTAAATGAAACTGCCATATGTCAATCGAAATCGTGGATATCTTGGCTATCACTGAAAAGAAGCAAAGAATTGGGTTTCTTTTGGGCATCTTTACCATGCTCTCTGGCAAAGTTGAGTCTTGAAAGTTGCAAACTATCTTCTGATGTCATGCCCAATGATTTTAGCAGCTTACCTTCCTTGAAGTTTTTAAATTTAAGTAAAAATCCAATCCATAGCCTGCCGAAGAGCATTAGTAGCCTTACAAAGCTTAATGAACTTCGACTGACTTCTTGCTCAGAGCTCCAACTGATTCCAAAGATTCCAATATTCAGTCCATTCACGGGGGTTTACGTGTCATCGTCTCCATTAACGCACGTGCTTTCAAGTTGGCAATGTCTAATGTCTTGGAAAAGGTGTTATATTTTCGGATGTGAAAAGCTAGCTGAGGTTGAAGGTGTGTTCAAGTTAGAACCAATTGAAAACTTTGAAGTGGAACAGATTAAAAACTTATTCAACATTGTTTCTATCGACAGCAATAAAGTGCAACTTTTTAACTACCTAACAGACATAAAAGTAGTTACGACCCCACAGGTCTTTTCCCCATCTCTCTTACGTTTTTATATCCTTTTTCATCTTTTGTTTGCTCATATTACTTGGTCAATATATTCCTAATTAACTAACAATTTTGATGGATCAGGTAGTACATGAATGCGGTATAACTAGCACTTTTATTTTAGGAAGTGAGGTTCCAATCTGGTTTGAGCATCGCACGAAAGGGCCTCGGATTGCTTTTTCTTTGCCCACACCATCTCATCCTGGTGAAAAGATAAGTTGCTTCAAGTTTTGCATCGTTTTTTCCCTCGATAGTGATCAAATTTTCGAATTTCAACCAAGTCTTTCTATTTTAAATGAGACCAAGGACATCAGGCAGCGTTATTTCTCTAATTTCATTGGAATTCCTGAAACCAAGAATAACACAATGTCATGGTTAATCCATTGGCCAACAATGGGCTTACATTTGGAAGGTGGCGATTTTGTGAGCTGCACAGTATCAATTTTAATTTCAATGTTAGAGAATTTGGTGTTACATGTGAATCAGAAAACAACATCAGATATGAACATGACTTTCCACACTATATTCCAGGTATGAGTATGATAGCAAGGAATAGTAATTAATCTGTTTCTAATTTTTTGTCCAAAGTGAGAGTATTTGACATTTTAATTTTAATTTTAGCTTTTAATATCTATTAACTACAACGAACTATTAATTTTTTCCTTTTTACAAAAAAAAAAAAGAAAAGGAAAAATGTCCTAAATATAAGATATATGAGGAGTACTGGGTTTGAACAATATAATCAAAAATAAGTTTATATAATTTCAGGTTGAATTTTCAACGGTATATCTATACAAACTACCTTTTAATATTTTTGAAATTCACAGTATATAAAGATTAAGGATAATGGATTATACATTAATAAGAGTGGTTAATACAATTTACTTTAGTGATACTAAACTAGGGATATCTAAGTTTTAGAATTAATATTTGGATATGCATGATACTTGATTATCATTAACGTTGATATATAAACAGCACATTCACATCTTTCAGGCAATGAACTTGTAAGTAGAGATATCGAGTTGGAACTAACTGATCACTTACTCAGTTTCGACTCCTATGAAAATGTTAAAGTGCAAGTTTGCAATTATTCAGATGAATCAGAAATGGTTGCTTCCCCGCAGGTTCCCTTTTCACTTTTCCAAGTTTTTCACTTTATATATTACCATTATCTTTTTTTTTTTGTTCTCTCTCACTCTCTTTTAGAACTGATTCTATAATTCAATGCTACAGGTATTACACGATTGTGGCATAATTACAGCTTCTAATCATGGAGCTAATGATAGTCTATATTATCAAGGTGGCAGGCCTAAGATTTCAATTACAGTGCCCCCAAACTCTAGTCAAAAGATCAGCTGGCTAAAATCGATTATCATTCTTGCTACCAACAATGATGAGACATTTGAATTTTTGCCACGAATTGAAATCGTGAACGAGACGAAAGGCACAAAGTGGACCTATTCTAAACATTTTATTGGAATTCCGGAAACCAGCAACGATTTATATTGGTTAACTAGTTGGAGATTTAGGGGTGATGAACTAGAAGCTGGTGATCATATTAGCCTTACGGTGCTTTCAGATTCACGTGTACTACACTCTGGTATTGACCTCGTATATGATTCTGAGCCAGATGACAAGTGCAAGCAATTGATGAGTAAATGTTCTAGTTTCTTTTCTAGAGTTTTTTTTTATTTTTTCTTCAAATCCCAAAGAAACTTGTATAGGATGCAGAGTTTAGTCAAATGCTGATTAATGTAGGATTTCATTGGAGCAAATCAAAATTTTGGCTTAATCGGGGCTCGCTTGGCTTGGCTAGCGTAAAGGAGAATGGCCTCCTGTCGTATTTTCATCTGTGATTTTTTCGTGTATGATACTGATATTGATATTTTCTCTTCATTGATAAAGAAACCTGGCAATGAGTCCCCTCTTGGCGTATTAAAGTTGAACGTTGATAGTTCTGTAAATGAGGTAAGGTGCTGATGGAGTTCTTGATGAGTTCAACCAAATGCATAGTTTATTGCAAATTTGGAGGCTGTTGTAACAATGTTTTTGGGATTCTCAATATTTCTGTTCCTATGCCTTAATAATCGAAACTGATTTTCTTGGGAAAATTATTGTTGCGCTCAGCTTCATGATTAGCGGACACGTCCCAAGTGGTATTTCAGTTTTTGACCTTCAGCTCCACAATTCTTCCCTTCGTCAACAGCAAATCGGCAAAAGTCTAGGTTTGGGATTGAAATTTTTCTTATTTCATTTTTTTTTTTGCTTTCGAGTTTTGTTTCCTTAAAAACAAATTAATCAAAGAGTTAAAAACAAAATCATACTTATTATATACTCAAGTTATTTTACATTAAATCTATCCAATGATTGGAGTATTTGTCTAAACTCAAAGACACTTGATTCTTTAAAAGATTTGAACAAAAATATTAAATTTATGAGTGATAAAAATATAATACGTATTTAAAATTCAAGTCAAACCTTGGTTTTAATATTTAAGGCCTTAATCCAACTCAATCGATTTAACTCGATAATTATATATTATAAATATATAATATAAAATATACTTAATATTAATAAATAAATAATATTTAACTCGATTGATTCAACTCGATAATTATATATTATAAATACGTAATATAAAATACATTTAATATTAATAAATAAATAATATCCAAGAATGTCCTAATTGTTAATAAAATAAAAAAACTCTCATTTCTTTGAAGTTTTTCAGATTTCAAAGAGAAAATAAAAATTTTATTTTACCTTATTTACCTTTACTTAATTACATTTTTAAACTACATAGACAACATTATTTGTCTTTAAAATATAGTAATTTTATATGTTGTTTTTCTATTCAATCTTTATAATTCAATAAAACAATTTTTTAAGATAAAACGTAATTATTCTTAAAAATATAAAAAATTATTTTATAAAATTAAATAAAAATGACATTTTTATAAAAAAAACAAAAATTTTTGTTTAAAATATGAAAAATTTTATTTTTTAAAATTTAACAAAAATGATATTTTAATATTAAAAATGCAATCTTTATTTAAAATATGAAAAAATTTTCAAAATTTAACAAAAATAATGTTTTTAAAATAAAAAAATGATTTTTATTGAAAATATGTACAATAAAACCTAAAATACTTTTACTTAAATAATTTAATAAAAATATTAAATAAACAATTTACATGTTAAATAAATAAAATTTTAAATAATTTATTTATTCACATGTTACTCGCATAAATATTATGAATATCATGTGTTATTCATTTCTCATCAAAAATAATATAATAAAATATTTTATTAGGTAATCTTATATTCTTCTAAACAAACATAGAAATCTTAAATTTTTTAAGATCAACAAAATTCAAAAATCACATATTTTCTTTCAATATATTTTTTTCGGAATTACTTTCTCCCAAAATCTAATAATTCAGGAAATAAATGCCACTAAAAAGTAGAGTAAATAAACTATAGAGCCTAATGAATAAGCACATTTGGTCAGAAGAAAATATGATTACATAAAATAGTTTCGATGATGTAAGATACCGGCATTTGGTTCAACTGGTTGGAATGTAGAATTCATGCTCAATAAACTTCATTCCTTGTAAGTAAATGTCACACAACTTTACCAAGTGAAAATCAATGTCATGTTTTTTTTTTCTTTAAAAACATATTGCCCCTTTTCAAAATCTATGAAAAGAACAAACAGCATTTGCTATCCATCTCAACTGCAAAGTTCATCACATCTAATTTAGCGCCAAAAGGAAATGTCAAAAAAAGAGAGATGGATCCCATATATTATACAAAGAAATGGAAATAAGATCACAAAACTAATCAATGATATATGCCAAGAGGAAATTTTGAAAAAAGAGAAAAAGATTCCAAAGATTAAACAAGGAAATGAAATTAAGACCATAAATCTAATCAAATGGTATATCTAATACATACTAAATCAGAATTCACACAAGTCAACAGCTTTGCTCAGATAAGTAGGATCCAATTATATTTTTGGCCATTTATTACTGCATAACAGTTTATACGGAAAAGAAAATCAAGCAAATACATATTTTCAATCACTCCACCCAATTCCTACTACAGGAAGAAGAAAATTCAAACAGATTCATCTTCGTCATTTCTACCTCTCTTGTATAAATTATAACAGGTTAAATAAATGAAGAATTGTAGTGCTGAGGGCCAAAAACTAAAATACTACTTGGGATGTGTCCGTTAATCATGAAGCTGAGGGCCATAATTAAGGCTAGCTTTTTCTCTAACTCTGTATTTTATTTTTTTTTTCAATATAATATTTAGTTCAGCTCAGCATTAAGCTTGAAAGTGACTTTTGCGTTAAAAATTTGCTGTCGACTAAATCTCATTGTCAAAGAACAAAAAAATTGACTTTTTTGAGCAAAGGTTTAATTTGTAAATACAAATAAAAAAACTCCTAACAGATGGATGAAAATAAGAGATAGGACTTTAAGTACTTATACTCATATTGGAATATAGAAATGTTATCTCTTAACGGAAATTGTATGATCTGACTGAATTAAACTTTAATTTTTCTAAATTTTTATTATTTTACACATATCTTTTTGAACATTTTAATTCACCGCATCATTTTTCACAACAATACCAAATATTTAAAATTCTTAAAAGTTTTTAAGCACAATAGAAATGCTAAACTAAGACCTCCTTTAGCATTTCTATTGAAAATAATTTTTACTTTCAAAAGCTGCTTTTCACTCAAATGAAGTGCTAAACAACAAAATATTTTGACCTAGATATTTTCCCTTTTTTCTTTCAGTATTCCAATATCAGACCATGACTTTGCTTTTGTTTTTCTTGACCTGAACATCACTTATCTTTTGCAAATGAGTGGATCCAAATTAATTATATACTTTTTGCCCGTCTCTTACTCCACACCAATTTATACGAAAAAGAAAATCAAGCAAATACATTTCCAATGTATTGCGGGTCAATCCCTCCACTAGTCCAAACCAATTGATCGTACAACTGGGAGAAGAAAATTGAAACAAATTTATTTTCCAACCATAAGAAAATTGAAAAAAAATCTTTTGTCGATAAGATTTTCTTTTTGCCAACCACAAGATGTTGATTGTGTTTGTGTTGCATTAAGAAACACCCATCTGATGTAGGGACTGCCTGTATGCAGAGAAAAAAAAATGAAAAAGATCAAGTACGGAAGCCAAGAGATCTTTTCCGACTATTAATGATTCAAAATAATCTTTGGCAAAAAAAAAAAAATCTAATGGACAAAAGAATATCAACTATTAATGAATTATATAATAGAAAAGTATAATTGGAAGTTGGACAAACTGAGAAAAGGAGGAATTAAATGTCCACTCTAGTTATATCTTTTCCAACAAATTTGGTGGACGTCTGGAAATAAATTTGTTTCAATTTTCTTCTCCCAGTTGTGAGTTGTGGTCTGGTGGAGGGATTGACCCGCTTTGCTTGATTTTCTTTTTCGTATAAAATGGTGTGGAGTAAGAGACTGGAAAAAGTATTTGGATATCACTCATTTGAAAATGATAAGTCATGTTCATGTCAAGAAAAAGAAAAACAAAGTCATGGTCTGAGATTAATGGAATATTGAAAAAAAAAAAAAAAAAAGAGCAGAAGTCTAGGTCTGATCTCTGAGATCGGAAATTTTTTCTTTCATTTATTGCTTTCAAGTTTTGTATTCTCAAAATCTAATATATTAATTTTGTAGAGAATGAAAGAAAGAGATGGTGTTCACGTGGCATCTTATTCTTTCTCTATCTTTTTTTTTTTTTTAATTTTATTTTTATTAAATCTATTTATCATTTCTTTTATTTTAAAATTTTTTTAATTTAATTTTTTATGAGATAAATTTTATAAAAAAGAGTGAATGAAAGTATATATGATAAAATAATTCATATTCAACTAGTTTTAATTCGCACCAATCTAATATAAGTGCATTTTTTTAAAAAAAATTGAGATTGGATTGATGATTTTTTTTTTTTTTTGAAAATGAGATTGAGTTGAAGATAGATTTAAGGTGTTCTATTTTGTTTTAGGTGTTCCCATGATACCTCCCTCTTTTGTTTTGTTTTTTAAAATTTTTTCTTTTTTTTGGATTTCTTTTTTCTTTTTACTTATATTCCATAAGTTCTATAATAATAAAAAAATCAATTGAGATAGAAGTGATAAAATAATTTGCATCCAATAAATTTTGACTTATATTAATAAAGAGTTCAAAAAAATCATACTGACTTTGTTATATATAAATATAATAGCACTTCATTTTTTCTGCATGATACTTGATTATCATTAACGTTGATATATAAACAACACATTCACATCTCTCAGGCAATAAACTTGTAACACGAAATATGAGTTGGAACTAACTGAAGACTTACTAAATTTGGGCTCCTATGAAAATGTTAAAGTGTAAATTTGCAATTTTTCAGATGAATCAGAAATGGTTGCTTCCCCAGAGATTCCCTTTTCATTTTCCAAGTTTTTCACTTTTTATATTACCACTTTTGTTTTGTTTTTGTTTTTTTTTTTTTATAACTTATTCTACAATTCAATGCTACAGGTATTACACGATTGTGGCATAATTACTGCTTCTGTTCCTGAAATTAATGACATTCCATATTATGGGGCTGGCAGGCCTCCTAAGGTTTCAATTACAGTGCCCCCAAACTCTATTCAAAAGATTAGCTGGGCAAAATCAATTATCTTTCTTGTTGCCAACAATGATGAAACATTTGAATTCTTACTACGAATTGAAATCGTGAACGAGACCAAAGGTACAAAGTGGACTTATTCTAAACATTTTATTGGAATTCCGGAAACAAACAACACCTTATATTGCTTAACTAGTTGCAAATTTAGGGGTGATGAACTACAAGCTGGTGATCATATTAGCCTTACGCTGCTTTCGGATTTACGTGTACTACAATCTGGTATTGACCTCGTATATGATTATGAGCCAGATGACAAGTGTAACTCTCTTGATCAGTTGCTATGGATGAGTAAATGTTCTAGTTTATTTGCTTTGGCTTTTATTTATACTTTCTTCAAAACCCGAAGAAACTTGTATAGGATGCAGAGTTTAGTCAAAGAGTAATTAATGTATAGGATTAATCAAATTTCTGGTTCAATCGAGACTTGCTTGGCTTTGGTGGCATAAAGGAATGGCCTTCTGTCTTATCTTCATCTCTGATATGTTTTTTTTCATTTATGCTAATGGTATTGATATTTTCTCTTCATCGATAAAGACAACCCTGCAATGAGTATCCTCCTTTTGGTGTATTAAAGTTCAAAGTTGATGGTTCTGTAAGTGGGGTAGGGATCTGATGGAGTTTTCGATGAGTTCAACCAAAAGCATAGTTTATTGCAAATTAATTTGTGACATGTGCAATACACAGATTACTTTTATTTATTTAAATATATGTATAGACACATAAATAAATAGTATTTAATTTACATGTATAATGTATATATAAAGTACATATAATAGTTTTGGGTTAATTTGTTAAAAGTGAGATAGTTATGAAAATGTGTAAATGTTTATTATAATTCAAAATATAGTAGTAGTAATAGTAATAACTATATACTTTTTTTCATTTGCATAATCCAATTTTCATTTAAAATAGAAATAATACAAACATGTTAAATAAAAATTTCAAAAAATTTCATTTGCCCAAAAGAATAAAAAATATTATGATTCATTATTTATCAATTGTGTAACACTTGAGCAAGAATATCCACAAGTTCAAAATCAACATAGAGCAAAAAAAAGATAGATATGAATTTAATATTGTTAAAGGAAACAATAGAAAGACGTTACAACTTAACTAAAAGCTGTAACAAAGAAGAGATTTGATAATTGTAGATTAAAATATTTATCTTTAAAAGATTAATTTGATGCAAAGGTAAATACAAAACATCTTAGAAAGTGTATCGGAACCTTAATTTAATGAGAAAATTATAGTTACCTACGATTTTCATTAAAAATGAGGGATTATTAATAAATCATAAGTGATAAAATAAAAAAAATAAATTAATAGATTTATGTGATTTTAAATTGAAAAAGAGTATCTTTTATTTTAAATTAAAAAACAAAATAATTACTAATATTCCTAATGAATTTTACAACTGCGTAAGAAATAGTGATTTAAGAGATGTCTTATATATTATTTAAATTAATATAAAACTATTATATAAATTGAAAGAAATGGATAAATATATTTTTAAATATTAAAAGCATTTAAAAATTGAATAATCAAATGAAAATATTTAAATGATATTATAACTATCTAGTGAAAAAAATGCAAATTAAAGTAGTTTATTGTTCATTTAAAAAAAAACATATCATATATATATAGCTAATGTTTTCTTTTAACTTAAAAAATCATAAATTTGACATTAATATATATATATATATAGCAATTGTATCATTCTCTTAGTCAAGAATTTCAACATAGAAGAATAACAAAGTTTACCTCTTTCCCTATTGTAACATGTTTATGTAGAAGCTTTCATTGAAAAAAAGAAAAGATGTTTTTACCTCATCACTTATATCCTTAACATAGTTTCCTTTTCAACCTAAATCACAACCATAAAAAGAGGACATTAAGAAGAGAAGCAATGGATGAATGAAAATGAAATGAAAATTGAAAGTACAAAAATAAATTAAAGAAAATAAAAGTTTACAAGATTGGGCTATCTGAGACACATTAGGGTCAATTTACTGCACTCATGAAGAAGTTATAAGAAGTGACCTATTTTAAGTAAATATTAGGTCAAAGTTACAAACCTTTTCACATGATTTACTGAAAACTTAAAAAGCCAAAAAAAGGTAAATGATAATATCATAAATAATGTGTAGGGATAAAAGTATTGAGTTTAATTAATGAAAGAAAACTTTTAAAGAATAAATTTTGAAATTGTTAAAAGGTGTGGTAGAGCATCCATGATTAAAACATCCTAAAAATCCATCCATTGGATATGCAAAACCCTTTTAAAATCCCCTTACGCCTCAAAGCAAGAGTAATTGGATCATATTGGAACATTGAAATATGCTCAAGTTTAGGTCTGAAATTGGAAATTGGAAATTTTTTTTATTTCATTTCTTTTGAAATAAAAAAAAATTCCAATATCAGACCATGACTTTGCTTTTGTTTTTCTTGACCTGAACATCACTTATCTTTTGCAAATGAGTGGATCCAAATTAATTAAATACTTTTGCCCGTCTCTTACTCCACACCAATTTATACCAAAAAGAAAATCAAGCAAATACATTTCCAATCTATGGCGGGTCAATCCCTCCACTTCCAAACCAATCGATCATACAACTGGGAGAAGAAAATTTAAACAAATTTATTTGGAAATAAATTTGCTTTCAATTTAGGTGGACGTCAAGAAAATAAATTTATTTCAATTTTGTTCTCCCAGTTGTGAATTGCGGATTGGTGGAGGGATTGACCCACTTTGCTTGATTTTCTTTTCGTGTAAATTGGTGTGGAATAAGAGAACGGCAAAAGTATTTGGATCCCAGTCATTTGAAAATTATTAAGTCATGTCCATCTCAAGAAAAAGTAAAGCAAAGTCATTGTCCGAGATTAATGGCATATTGAAAAAAAAGGCAAAAGTCGATGTCAAACGTATGAGATCGAAAAATTTTTATTTCAATTATAGTTTTGTTTCCTTCAAATATTAATAAAGAGTTCAATATATATATATATATATATGCAAAGACTTTCTTCTATATAAATATATATATGCAAAGACTTTCTTCTATATAAATATAGTAGGACTTCATTTTTCTTATTACATTCTTCTCTTTGATAACATATAGTTAAGTTGTTCTACTTTTATTTCAAGTACCAATTAATCTTGATTCTCTTGCAGGATTTTTTTCATGGCTGTTTCGATGATTCATGAAGCCTCCACCTCAATTTCTCGATATACTTATCATGTATTCCTGAGTTTTAAAGGTACAGATACACGTAAAAACTTTACAGATCATCTTTACACAGCATTGGTACAAGCAGGAATTCACACATTTAGAGATGATGAAGAGATCGAGAGAGGGAAAAATATAAATGATGAAATTGAAAAGACGATTCTACACGAATCAAAAATTTCTATCATTGTATTTTCAAAGAATTATGCTGCATCAACACGGTGTCTTAACGAACTTGTGAAGATACTAGAACGTAAGAAATCCTCTCAACACATTGTTTTACCTGTTTTCTACGATGTCGATCCAACTCAAGTCAAAAAGCAGACAGGGAGTTATGCAGAAGCGTTTGCCAAACATGAAGAGTGTTTCAAATCCGAAATGGACAAGGTACAAAGATGGAGGGTTGCTTTAAAAGAAGTTGCGAATTTCGCAGGCATGGTTCTACAAGATAGGTACATATATATATATATTTATATTTTTATGCATGTATATATAACTAATCAAGTTCCATATTATATTGCATACTCCCTTCTTAAAAATTGCAAATTTAATTTACATGCCCAATTGTCCATTATTTCATGACATTAATTCTGTTGTCTATTATTAGAAATCCATAATGAAAAGTCAGAAACAAATTTATTAACTACTTAAATAAATCAGAAAAAGAACAAATAAAAAAAGCTGCAAATTTAATTGTTGTATATTACTTGAATACATTAAAAATTAGGTATACTAGAGGTATAATTATTTAGGAGAGAATAAAATAGATATAAAAGATTTTTAAGTTGAATTGAAATTTTAGTGATAACCACAAATTTTAAAATGTAGAACTCAAATCGTAATTTTTTTGGAAAAGTAAAATTAATATTATTAATATATCCTTTTTAATATGTCGTAATTTTATTATTTTATTTAAAATTTTCATAACTTTACCAATCTTTAATACTAATTCAACTATTTACATTTTATAAGTTTAGATTGTTTATTGTAGTTAATCATTTTTACCTCACATTTTAAAATTCTTTATGCTTAATATTCTAAGTGGGTAGTATTTCAAAAAAAAAAAAAATTCTGCGGGTAGTATAAGATTCATGTGTGTGTATGTGTCCCTATATGTTTGTCTTTCTTTTAATTTTATTTTTTCTTGTTAGAATATGTTTGTCTTTCTTATATCTTCTCTTTCTATTTATTTGCAAAGGTGTTTTGCTCCTAAGACGGGCCTACCAAGCCTTTCTTGTTAAAAGTTAAAACTAATCTCTTTCAATTTAATTGTGATTTTATATCAATATTTTAAATATTTATAATTAAAATTAAATAAATATATTGTTGCAATTTTCAAATATAAATGTATTCTACTACGAAATCAATATAAAATAAATTATACACAAAATGTAATATTTAAAGTGGTTCAATTAAATAAACTTAATTTTCAAATAATTCATTGACCAATAAAATTTTAACAAAATCTAAACTTGTTATATATTATTTTCTAATGAAATAACTATTTATTGAGATTTTTTTTTCAAATTTTCAAGATTTTTACATTCATTTATTAACTTTTAGATAAAAAATTTCCAACATTCCTATTCATAAGAACACTTTGCATGATAATGATAAGGTTCGATGAGAGTCCTCAAATTGAGCTGCCTATAGTTGATTAGTCCAATCGTTCTTTTAGGTTGTTTTCGAAATTCACTTGGATTCGTATTTATCTTTATTTCTCCAATTTTAATTATTGATCGAAGAATTCGCAAAACATGTAGATTAGTCCTCTTCTTCTTAAAGACTGTAAAAAATCTTTAAATATTGATTAATCTTCAGAGGATACTAATGTAATCCTATATCAAAGTAATATTTATTGGTTAATCTGTATGCGTGCAATGTTAAGCCCTTGATAAAAGAAACGTTAGGCAAGCTTTGCAACGATAATGGTATGCTTCAACTGGATAACAATAGATGTGTTGAGATGGTTTCTATGGATGGACAATTGTGATTAGATTTGGCAATTTGTGTTTCATATTATATCTCATGTTGTATTTGATATGTGTAATGACATAAATTATTAAAATATAAATATAACACGAATTATAAAACGTATTCAAATTTTAAACATAAACATGACACATTTATTATACGTATTACATGTAATAGATACGATTAACATGTGTACAATTAATCTATTTAAACACAACACAAATAAACACAAATAATAAGGGTATACATGAATAAACACAAATACACACGAAAAAACACGATTAACATGAATATATACAAAAATACGATTAAAATAATGAATAATTATACACTATTCATTATTTACAATTTAATAAACTTAGTATATTAGTAATATAAAAAATATTTACATATTAAAAAAAGTTTAATACCCATTTAATATGTATTTAATATTTATATATTTAAATTTTAATATATTTTACATAACTATATTAATTTTTAGAATCAATTTCAAAATGATAAACTATTAAAGATTAAAAAATAAAACAATAATGTATAAGACTAATATTAATATTTATAATGTATTTATATTATTAATATAAAAATAATTTTATAATAATTATTAAATGAGTATCATAATTAAATGTTTAAAATAATTTTTATATAATATTAAATGGCTAATAAGTATAATAATTAAAAGATTAAAAATATAAATAATCTTTTTATGTTTATATTAAATTAAAATAAATATAAAAAATGTGTTAAATTTGTTAATTAAACATATGAAATATGCTAAAAATGTACTTGTATAACAAAATTAAATTAAATATGTTATTCGTATTGTGTCATATGTTTAAATGTGTCAACACATATAAAATACAAATTATATCGTATCGAAATTCTTGTCCACATATATAAACACAAAATACATTTTTTTAAAAAAACAAATATGATTTTTTTCGTATTGTTTTCATGTGGTATCAATGTATCATGTCTGAATTATCGATTCTAATTGTAATCACACCAATTCTTTGAATTTATTATTGAATTTTATGGTAATAATGATGTTGTTGATGTAAAGATGATGACTATGATGTTAATAACAAGCCTGATAATGAGTGCCTATAATCTATCGATAAGAATAAATTGAAAAATCTTAAACAAAAGAAGAAACATAAAACCTTTAGCTGGAGTAGAAAGTAGATCCATACTAAGGTTAATATTTGTGCTCCTTGTCCTCTTGTAATCACTTCAAATAATATCTACATTTTTTATAATGGTACACAAATGAGTTTTTTTTTTTTTTTTTTTCACGAAGTTGAAGCTATCAATAATTAAACTATGGATTTAAATTATGATCATGGATATATTTTTTTTACATCGCATTTATCATGGTTGTAAACATAACAGATATCATCACAATCATCGATTTTTTTCAAATTTACATAATTTATTATAAAATATAATAATTATAATTGTAATCATAAAAAATTTTGTATATAACTTTTAAAGTAGTTAATGAAAATCTAAGTTTTTTATTTATATAAAAAAATTAATTACAATTTTTTGACATATTATAGTAAAATATTGACATTTAGAAATTTAACAAGTTACAAATATCAAAAAAATAAAATGAGTAATAAAATCCTAATAAAAATCAAAGCTAATAACTAATGAAATTAATATATTAATCATTTAATATTTTTTCATCTAAATTATAAAATATAATATTCTTTCTAAATTTTCATTAAAACTTTTAACCTTAAATTTCTTAATCTAAATGAAAATAAATTGTCAAAACTTCTCAATTTTAACCCATTATTTCTCCCTCTAATTTTTTATTGGTTAAGCAATGACTGAGCCTAACCCCCACCAAACTCCTCACTACATCCAAATATTTCTTGCAATTAGAAGTGCGAATGAACCACCCCCCTCTGCACCCTTCAAAAACTGACTCTGTCTCGACTCAAACCAGTCATGGCTCGTTTGATTTCTTGTCTAATCCAACCACCACAGCCCCAAATCCACGCCCATGGAGTGCTCATGGATGCGTTTTTTTGAAATTTTAGAGGTTGAAGCAAAATCTCTCAAGGCTTCAGTTCTTCTTAAGTCCTATACAACACAAATTTGCAGAAACTTAAACAAAGAAAAAGGAAATTTTAAGTTTTTTTGTTATTACCTGCTTTCAATAATTTCTTCTTGATCTTTGATTGAGGTTGATTTTTTACTGAATTGCTGTAAATCTATGCTTTGTTTTCTGTTTTTTGGGGGCCTTATTTTGTTAATTTTTATTGAAATTTAAATGTTTATGGATGAAAAAAAGTTTTTTCTTCTCATCAAGTCTACGAAAAAAATGTAAATAGCCTACATTGCAGATGAAAATGAGTAATTATCAATAAACTTATAGAACAGGAATAGGAGGAACGGTAGATTATGACAGTAGCTAGTTGTGTTTCTGATGCTATTGATCAATAAACGTTGGAAGTCGAATGAAATATATATATATTTTTTATTTTTTTTTGTATTTTATTCTAGCACAATGTTGCGGTTTCTTTTATAGGGGGTTCTCACTTGGGTTTTCCTACTATGCTTTTTTTATGTTCTCAGCTCTTTTATTGTCTTGATTTTGTTGGGACATTGCATTATCTTTTGGGTTGGTTTCTTGGCTCTATACTTAGTAAGTTATTAGCATCTTAGGTTTGTATTAAGACTTCCCACTTGGTAGAACTTGCCTTTAATTGCATTAATAACATATTTATTATGGCCTTTAGAAACTTTTTATTCACATTCCTATTAGTATATCCTATATTATTCCACATTAAATTTCACAAGAAGAAATAAGTTATAATGACTAAGGATAAAGATGTAATTTTATTGAAACCAACAAACTTTTCTTAGACCTTCAAGAGGAGAAGGTTTTAATACTTTTAAATTTTAAGTTCATGTTTCATCGCATGTAAGTTTCATTAAAATTTGCATTGGTTTATTAATTTACGTTGTTTGTTTCTTAATTTTTTAAATGTAATAGCCTGATCATATATGTTGAATAATTTAACACTTATCTCTTAAAATTTGTAGGCATGAGTCGCAATTCATTCAAGATATTGTTAAGCAAATTCAAAACAAGCTCTATCACACCGTTTTATACGTCCCTTCTTATTTGGTTGGAATAGATTCTCTTGTGACACGCATTAATCGGTGGATAGAAGAAGATGGATCAAATAACACTGGCATTGCAACAATTTGTGGAATTGGAGGGATTGGGAAGACAACCATTGCCAAAGTTATTTTCAATCAAAACATCCAAAGATTTGAAGGTTATAGTTTCCTTTCAGATGTTAGAGAAACGACTCAAGAGCGCAATGGCTTGGTTCGTTTGCAAAGACAACTTATTTCAGATATCCTAAAGGGAAAAGCAAACAAAATCTACAGTGCAGATGATGGAATTCTTAAGATCAACGAAGCTGTATGTTGTAGAAGAGTTCTTATTGTTCTTGATGATGTTGATGATTTGGAAAACATAACTAAAATAATTGGAATGCGAATACCCTTTTTTCCCGGAAGTAAAATCATCCTAACTAGTAGGCGTCGACATCTACTAAGTGGTCCTTTTATTACCCAGATGTTTGATTTGAAAGAATCGTCCAGTTATGGAGACTTATGCAAAGTGTTTGAAGTAAAAGAATTAGCTTTCAACGAATCACTTCAACTTTTTAACTGGTATGCCTTCGGCCACAACTCTATAACTGAGAGTTTTATGGAGTATGCAAGCAATATAGTCAACTACTGTGGTGGGCTTCCATTAGCTCTTCAAGTTTTGGGTTCTTCTCTCTCTAGCAAAAGTATGAGTGTATGGAAAAGTGCATTGGAGAAATTGGAAGCAATCCCTGATAGCAAAATTCAAAAGATTCTACGAGTAAGCTATGATTCCCTTCAAGATGATCATGATAAAAATTTATTCCTTGACATAGCTTGCTTATTCATTGGGAAGGATAGAGATTATACAGCTACAATTTTGGATGGTTGTGGTTTCTATACAACAGTTGGAATTGAAAATCTCATAGGCAGGTCTCTCCTAATTATTAATGAAAAAAACAAGCTAATGATGCATCAAATGGTTAGAGATATGGGAAAGGAAATTATTCGCCAAGAATCTCTTGATCCTGGAAAACGCAGTAGGTTGTGGGGCAAGGACGCATTCGATGTAATAAGAGAAAAAATTGTAAGAGACTTTATTTTAATCTACTTGTTTCTTATATGTATCTTTTTAACTTTTATCATACAACTGTTTTTTTTCAATTTTTTTTAAGATACACTTTCTGATCCAGGGTTCAAAAACAATTAAGTCTCTCACTGTTGACTTACAAGGATTGCTAGAAAACAAGTCTAAACGGACAACTCCAGGTCTACATTTTGCAAAGCATTCAAAAAATCGATTTGTCATGTCAAATGAGGTTAATATAGAAACTGAAGCATTTGCAAAGATGCAGAGACTTAAACTACTTCAGTTAGATTATGTAAAACTTAAAGGAGACTTCAAAGACTTCCCCAAAGGTTTAATATGGTTGCGCTGGCATGGATTTCCTCTACAATCTCTTCCAACAGATTTTGATATTAAGAGGCTAGTTGTTCTTGACATGCGCAACAGTAACGTAAAACACTTTTGGAAGGATACTGAGGTATGATAAGTGATAACCGCTAATTTCTCTTTCCTTTTTTTTTTTTTTTGAAACAATAACACATTTCTAAAAAGAGTTTTTTTTTTTTTTTTTTTTTACAGTGTCTTCCAAATCTGAAGATCCTTAATCTAAATCATTCACATGGCCTTCTCAAAACCCCAAACTTTTTAGGACTTCCAAGTCTTGAGAAGTTGATGCTCAAAGATTGCATAAAGTTGACTGAGGTTGATGAATCCATTGGTGAGCTAAAGGCACTTACTTTTTTAAGCCTTAAAGGTTGCAAAAACCTTATGAAACTTCCAAGAACAATTGGTTTGCTATTGTCTCTTGAAGTGCTTATTTTATGTGGTTGCTCAAGACTTGATAATATTCCTAGAGAGTTGCAAAATATGAAATCATTAAGGGTGCTTAATTTAAATGGAACTGCCATATATCAATCAAAATCGTGGATGTCTTGGCTATCCCTGAAAAGAAGCAAGGAGTTGGGTTTCTTTTGGGCATATTTACCATGCTCTTTGGTAAAGTTGAGTCTTGAAAGTTGCAGACTTTCTACTGATGTCATGCCCAATGATTTTAGCAGCTTACCTTCCTTGAAGTTTTTAAATTTAAGTAAAAATCCAATCCATAGCCTGCCTAAGAGCATTAGTAGCCTTGCAAAGCTTAATGAACTTCTACTGACTTCTTGCTCAGAGCTCCAACTGATTCCAAAGCTTCCAATATTCTGTCCACTCATTGGGATTTACATGTCATCGTCTCCATTAACGCACATTCTTTCAAGTCTACAATGTCTAATGTCTTGGAAAAGATGCATGATTTTGGGATGTGAAAAGCTAGCTGAGGTTGAAGGTGTGTTCAAGTTAGAACCAATTGAAAACTTTGAAGTGGAACAGATTAAAAACATATTCAACATTGATTTTATTGAGAGCAATAAAGTGCAACTTTTTAACTACCTAACGGACACAAAAATAGTTACTACCCCACAGGTCTTTTCCCCATCCCTCTTTTAAGTTTTTATATCCTTTTGCATCTTTTGTTTGGTTATATTTCTTGATCAATATATTCTTAATTAACTAACGATTTTGACGGATCAGGTAGTAAATGAATGCGGTATAACTAGCACATTTATTTCTGGAAGTGAGGTTCCAATTCGGTTTGATCATCGTACTAAAGGGTCTCGGATCGCTTTCTCTTTGCCAGCACCATCTCATTCTGGTGAAAAGATAAGTTGTTTCAACTTATGCATCGTTTTTTCCCTTGTTAGTGGTCAAATTTTCGATTTTCCACCAAGTCTTTTTATTTTTAATGAGACCAAGGATATCATGTGGGGTTATTTGTCTAATTTCATTGGAATTCCTGAAACCAACAATAACACAATGTTATGGTTAGTCCATTGGCCAACAATGGGCTTCCAGTTGGAAGGTGGCGACTTTGTGAGCTGCACGGTATCAAATTTTCATTTCAATGTTAGAGAATTTGGTGTTAGATATGAATCAGAAAACGGCATCAGATATGAATATGACTTTCCTCACTATATTCCAGGTATGAATATGACGGTAAGGAATAGTAATTAATCTGTTTTTAATTTTTTGTCCAAAGTGAGAGTATTTAACATTATAATTTTAATTTTAGCTTTTAATATCTATTAACTACTAGTAATTTTTTTTTTTACAAAAAAAAAAAAGGAAAAACGTCCTAAATAGAAGGTATATGAGAAGTACTGTGTTTGAACAATATAATCAAAAATAAGTTTATATAACTTCAGGTTGAATTTTTAACGGTATATCTATACAAACTACTTTTTAATATTTTTAAAATTCACAGTATATAAAGATGAAGGATAATGGATTATACAACAATGTGAGTGGTTCATACAACTTACTTTAGTGATAATAAATTGGGGATATCTAAGTTTTAGAATTAATAGTTGGATATACATGATACTTGATTATCATTAACGTTGATATATAAACAACACATTATTTATCACATTTTTCAGGCAATGAACTTGTAACAAGGAATATCCAGTTCGAACTTACTGAAGACTTGCTAAGTTTGGATTCCTATGAAAATGTTAAAGTGCAAATTTGCAATTATTCAGATGAATCAGAAATGGTTGCTTCCCCACAGGTTCCCCTTTCATTTTCCAAGTTTTTCACTTTTTATATTACCGCTTTTTCTTTGTTTTTGTTTTCCTTTTTTTTTTTTATAACTTATTCTACAATTCAATGCTACAGGTATTACACGATTGTGGCATAATTACAGCTTCTGTTCCTGCAATTAGTGATCTTCCATGTTTTAGGGCTGGCAGGCCGTCTAAGGTTTCAATTACAGTGCCCCCAAACTCTAATCAAAAAATTAGCTGGGTCAAATCGATTTTCATTCTTGCTGCCAACACTGATGAAACATTTGAATTTTTACCACGAATTGAATTCGTGAACGAGACCAAAGGTACAAAGTGGACCTATTCTAAACATTTTATTGGAATTCCTGAAACCAAGAACCGCATAAATTGGTTAACTAGTTGGAAATTTAGGGGCGATGAACTAGAAGCTGGAGATCATATTAGCCTTACGGTGCATTCGGATTTACGTGTACTAGAATCTGGTATTGACCTCGTATATGATTATAAGCCAGATGACAAGTGCAATTCTCTTGATCGCTTGCAATGGATGGGTAAATGTTCCGGTTTATTTTCTTCGGCTTTTGTTTATAATTTCTTCAAATCCCAAAGAAACTTGTATAGGATGCAGACTTTACTCAAATGGTGATTAATATATTATTTAATTAGAGCAAATCCAATTTTTGGTACAATCGAGACTCGCTTGGCTTGGTTAGCGTAAAGGAGAATGGCCTTCTGTCTTATTTTCGTCTGAGTTTTTCGTGTATGATACTGATAATGATATTTTCTCTTGCAATGAGTCCCCTCCTGGTGTAATAAAGTTGAACGTTGATAGTTCTGTAAGTGGGGTAAGGTGCTGAATTGTTGATGGAGTTCTTGATGAGTTCAACCAAATGCATTAGTTTATTGCAAATTTGGAGGCTGTTGTAACAATGTTTTTGGGATTCTCAATATTTCTGTTTCTAATAATCGAAACTGATTCTCTCGTGAAAATGATTGCGGCCATCAGCTTCATGATTGGCTGACATGTCCCAAGTGGTATTTCAGTTTTCGACCTTCCAACTCCACAATTCATATTCTTCCCTTCGTCAACAGCAAATTGGCAAAAGTCTAGGTTTGAGATTAAAATTTTTCTTATTTCGTTTTTTTTTCCCTTCGAGTTTTGTTTCCTTGAAAACAAATTAATTAAAGAGTTAAAAACAAAACCATACTTATTATATGCTCAAGTTATTTTACATTAAATCTATCCAATGATTTAAACATTTGTTTAAACTCGAAGATACTGAATTTTTTGAAGGATTTGAACAAAAATTATTAAATTCATTGAGTGAAAAATATATAATACCTGTTTAAAATTCAAGTCAAATCTTGGTTTTAATGTTCAAGGCTTGAGTCCAACTCAATCAATTTAACTCGATAATTATATATTTATAAATATAAAATACATTTAATATTAATAAATAAATCATATTCAACTCGATTGATTCAACTCAATAATTATATATTATAAATATATAATATAAAATACATTTAATATTAATAAATAAATAATATCCAAAGATGTCCTAATTGTTAAAAAAGTCAAAAACTTTCATTTCTTTGAAGTTTTTCAAATTTCAAAGAGAAAATAAAAATTTTATCTCATTTACCATCACTTAATTACATTTTTATACTACTAAAACAACACTATTTGTCTTAAAAACATAGTAATTTTATATGTTGTTTTTTATTTAATCTTCATAATTCAATAAAAACAATTTTTTAAGATAAAACGCAATTATTCTTAAAAATATAAAAAATCATTTTATAAAATTAAATAAAAACGGTATTTTTATTAAAAAAAAAACATAATTTTTCTTTAAAATACGAAAAAAATTTATTTTTTAAAATTCTACAAAAATGACTTTTTAATATTAAAAATGCAATCTTTATTTAAAATATGAAAAAAATTTCAAAATTTAACAAAAACGTTTTTAAAATAAAAAAATTATTTTTATTGAAAATATGAACAATAAAACCTAAAATACTCTTACTTAAATAATTTAATAAAAATATTAAAAAAAACAATTTCCATGTTAAATAAATAAAATTTTAATTAATTTATTTATTCACATGTTTTTCACATAAATATTATAAATATCATGTGTTATTCACTTGTCATAAAAAATAATAAAATAAAATATTTTATTAGATAATCTTATATTTTTTTAAACAAACATAAAAATCTTAGATTTTTTAAGATCAGAAAACTAAAAAATCATACATTTTCTTTTAATATTTTTTTTGGAATTACATTCCCCTGAAATCTGAAAATTTACGAATTAAATGCCACTAAAAAGTAAAGTAAATAAACTAAAGCTTAATGAATAAGAATTTTTGGTTAGAAGAAATTAAGATTACATAGAATAATTCCGATAATGTAAGATACTGGCATTTGGCTGGAATGTAAAATTCATGCTCAATAAACTTCATTCCCTGTAAGTAAATGTCACACAACTTTACCAAGTGAAAATTAATGTCATTTTTTTTTCTTTAAAAACGTATTGCCCCTTTTCAAGATCTATGAACAGAACAAACAGCATTTGCGGCAAAGATCTAAATTCCCAAGTAAGTAAACGATTTTCGTTGGAAGTAGATACCCGCCTTAATATACACATACGGCGAATGGGAAGCACCCATATCATCAACTTTAGACTAATGAAAGAAAGCTTTGATTACAATCTCCAGACTTCCCAATGGTTAAACATGGCTTACAAGCTTTAATGCCTCCGATGATGTACCTGAGGAATGAAGTCAAATTATTTTGTCATTGTCAAGATCCACTTAATGCCATATAGGCAAAAGAAAGATTCACAACCTGTCTCATTAGATTGATGATGAACCCAGCGAGGAACATCCAGCAGCTTTCATCTCCTTGAGAGTTCCAGATAACCAGTCCAAGCCTTCATAGAGGCCATCTCCTCTGCGCGCGCAAGTACCTTGTATGTGCCATTTCCTGTTCTTTAGATCAAGGAGACCTAATCCCCTGCATACCTCCATCGGGCCATTGCTCCTTTCTGGAACAAGAAACACAAAATCAGATAAAATGAAACTGACATTTCATGCAATAAAACTAGGACATAACAGCTAGTCTAGACAAATTAATGGAGATTAAAAATAAAGCTAAATGATGACTACTAAAGACATTGGATATTGTTGCCCTGGAAACAGAGATACATCTCCACATTACATCATTAAGCAGAGACATGAAAATAACATTAACAAATACAAATAAAACAATAACGAGGCGTATTGCTGGATTAACATTCTACACCTAAATTATTAATACATGTGTTAATGTCCTGAAGTTGACATCATAAGCAATCGACCACTTATGAACTACTGCAATCAAAAACACTAAATCCCAGTCAAATAGAGCCAGTGGCACCAACGGGAAAAAAAAATCCTAGCAGTCTCCACTCTGATCAAACATATCAAGAACCACTCTTAAAGCAGTCCTGTTGGTTCAAATGCTGCATTATTCTAGGCAATGACCACAATATTTATTCCTAACCAAAAGACTCATGTTTCATAATTTCATCCATCCAAAAGCAACAATCAATAGTGTTTAGTACAGTGAAGTAAAGCACCCATGTTCCAATTTCATATGCTTTATCCATCATTATGCCTCCAATGGTCAATTTTAATGCGATTACATTTCAGACAATTACAAAATGATGCCTTCTTCAAACTAGAATATGTTCAGGGGAACAAGAGAGGATGAGAAACTTAGTCGGTCTAAGGGCCCCTGGGATAAGGATTTACAATTCATACAAGCATTCATTGAGGCACATCATATTGCGTCATAATTTGGACATCTATTTTAGAAAAATTATTAATGTTAAAAAAAAATGAAGGGGATCAGGGGCTGCTAAACAGGCACCACATTATGTTACTCAGAAACCAAGAACACAAGACAAAACAATGAATGAAATTATCAAATATGCAGCTGTATATGAAAGCCATATTTTATCGATAATGGACAATGAGGCAAGGTTTTGTTCATAAATCTTCATTCAAAGGCAAGATGCAACATGACTATATTGAAGAACACAGACCTTACATAAATAACAGAATTTCAAATACGTAAACATATGCAATATTATGTGCTTTTAATATGTTACAACAATAGGTGCTTTTAAGGTCATTTTCTGCGCTGCCATTAATCTTTGTTGATCCAGAAGTACATGCCAAAAAGGGGGACTATAGTTTTACACTTTAGAATAATCCCAATGTCTTGGATGTTATAATAACTTTTGCATAACATGTAAGAAAGTAAAATACACTTCTTACTAACCAAAAGAAAAAGGAGGATACATCAGAAGACAACAGCATCAGATGAAAAGACAAGAATGCAATTTCAACACTAAAATATCCAAGGGATTGTTACTACGAACAACTAAAAAAATGCATTTGTATGTTCTCAACAGTTTATCTCGTAGATACCACTTGCATTTTTCTATATATACAAAAAGACAGGTCTAAAACCACTAACAGAAATCATACCATGTCCTGCTTGTTGGCGAACACCAAGACAACGCTTTTGCACATAAATGGGTCATTGATGACGGCCTGAAAGAACATTATTAATAATAAAGTGAGACAATGTAAAAACCAAAATGTCTAACAAGTTTGTGTACGTTCTAAATTTTAACCTGAAATTCTTGCTTAGTTTTGCCAATCCTCTCTCGGTCCAAGGAATCAACAACATAGATCTGTACAGAAAAATCTAGTAGAGAGAGATATGAATGTCCTTATCTTTTCAGTCAGTAGTGAAGAACAAGAGCACAAACTATTTAACAAATTAAATCTTTCTGTTTTGACAAAAGGCTGTGAAATATTAGCCAATGCAGAAATTTATAAAAACCCTCCTACATTCAATATTTTCCTAATCCCTCAATTTTCAATAATATAAGTTTCCCTCTGAAATTATGGCAAAAGAAAACATACTATAATGAAACAAATTGAAGAAAATATGGCAAAATCAGGGAAACAGGCAGTTATAAGAGAAAAAGGGGATATCTAATATCAATATACTAGAAGGCTTTTACAATCTAAGTAACCAATAAATGGAACATATTCAGGTCAAAATCAATCGGAAGAAACATTAAAAGTGAAAAAAAATTGAGAGAGAGCTAATTATTACGAGTCCATCTGTGTTGTTAAAGTAGTGCCTCCAGAGAGGCCTTAGTTTCTCTTGTCCACCAACATCCCAAACTGTAAACATCACATTCTTATATTGAACTTTCTCCACATTGAAACCTGGAGGAGTCAACAACAAGATATCAGTAGTCATATCAACTTGTCTATTCTCTTCAAGTGCAAAGTTCATCACATCTAATTTAGCACCAAGAATAAATTTTAAAAAAGAAAGATGGATCCAAAATATCATACAAAGAAATGGAAATAAGACCACACTAATCAATGATTATATGCCAAGAGGAAATTTTGAAAAAAAGAAACAGTTCCAAAGATTAAAAAAGAAATGAAACTAATACCATAAAAACTAATCAATGATGTATCTAACACACACTGAATCAGAGTTCACACAACTCACCACTTTTTCAGATAATGCCTAAGATGATGAAGGCTAGAAAGCGTGATCTATCT